TTTTTCTGCACATAGGGGAGATAAGACAGGCATACATACACTAATTGACGTGGGTATCTATCTATTCATCGTACCAGGCCCAACGTGGCCGTTGTGTTCGGAAACCTGTCGAGAAGCCACCGATGGGTGCGCGGGAATGCCGCACATATGTTGGGCAGCCATCGGGCATTCTTGCCCTTGCCACCACCGCTGCCGTCGTTGTTGTCTGCCGAGTCCACATATTGACAGATGAGTATGGGAGAGAGAGAGAGAGAGAGAGAGAGGGACAGACGGGCTTGCGTGTGGTGTGGTACCGATGTGCCGTTTGAGCATCGAGGGCGGAATGGCATCCGGCATGACGGCCACACCAACTGCACCCATTGCATCCCCACCCCCATACCACACCGCACACCGACACATCTTTTCTATCTGTCTCTCCCCCATGTCTCCCTCCCTTACACGAGGGTCGTCTAGACGTCTTCCGCCCTGGAAACTCCATCAACGGCCCTATCACAGGCGACACAGCGGCACCACTAGCAGCGGCAGCAGCGGCGGCGGCGGCAGGAGCACCCTTGCCGCTTCGTGTGGCGAAAGGGCCTTTCTGCTGGGAGGGGTCAGTTTGCTGCCGGGCTGAGGCAGGGGCGATGGTGTGGGGCCGGCCTTTTGTGTGTGCGATGTGGGTGTGGGCATGGTCGGTGTGCGCACGGGCGTGCCCTTTGACGAGCGGCCGACGGGCTTGCTCGGGCGGCTCGATGCCGAACACAGGAAGGGAGTCGTCGACGTCGAGTCCTGATGCAACACGATGGATGCAGCCAATGATGATCCACAGTTGCAAGGCCATTCTTGCTTCTGGAGTGTTGCTTCAATGTGTGTGCAGCATCCTACCAATTTCAGATGTTTCGCCGTATTCTTGAATGTTGAGAGAAGGAAAGCTGTGGTCCGTGGCAGCGGCTTGGCGGCGGTCTGTGATGATGGCGGTGGTGGCGAGTAGGGTGCCGCCTGCTCTGGTTTGGGGGGGGCTCCCTCTGCACATAAAGGAGATAAGACAGGCATAAACCAATTCACGTGGGTATCTATCTATTCATCGTACCAGGCCCAACGTGGCCGTCGTTCTTGGGAAATTGTCGTGGAGGTACTGCTGCGTGGGCGGGAATGCCGCAATGATCTCTCCAAGCCATCGCATCGCTATGCGAAATGGTGCCGTTCAGAACGGCACCTCTGTCGCCCGCCATGAGCCGCGATGAAAGGCCGCCAGCGGGCACTTGGCAGATAGATCTCTCGGGGGCCGCCGGAGCGGCCAATTATGCGGAGACGAACAGAGAAAAGAGGAGACATGAGCAAATGTTCACGAGTCTCTTCTGTTGTTCCTCTACTAGGAATTTATTTCAAAGCGCTTTTAGATGAGGTGCATCGGCAATTGAGAAGGAGAGGTCCACGGATATAAAACGGAGACAGCGATCGACCTGGACACACAGACACGTGACGTAGCTTGACAGCTTCACATACCCCTCGCAACCCACGTCACGCAGCACCGTCCCGGGCGGCGAGAGAGGAATTCTTCGCGGCTTCGTCGGCAGGGTGTCGGGGGGTTGCTGGCGAGGTCGGGTGGTCTCGGCCATATGGTACGGTATCTTTGTCGTCATTCACCAATCGGCCTCGTCATTCACCAAAGATGCGGAGACAAAAACGGAGAAGAAAAGGAGACATGGGCTCTTGTTGATGAGCCTCTTCTTTTGCCTCTCACTTACGCACGCACCTGTGGGGCCGCCGGGGATAAACTCACTGATGCACAGCAGCCAATCTTGGATCAAGTAGAAGGGGCCCACAGGATATAACATGTAGACACCGATCGCTCTGAAGACACAGACGCGAGACACATACCAGTGGAGTCGATCAGTCTATTTTGACAGCTTACCTTTGATGCGCACACGGCGAGCCAAGGCGGTGCGGGTGAAGTGTCGTCATCAGTCGGTCAAATATAACATGTAGACAACGATCTGCACACCAGCAACAGACACATTGGGTGTGTGCACACCGATTGGATTGCAGTGTCTTGGTCCTTCTCACGCTGCCCACTCGCAGGATGCAGCCAGATGTAGCCAGATGGCGACTCCGTAATGTAATGGGAGGGCGAAGGGGGCAGCGCATCGATGTTGAGATGTGCCGACGAATATAAAATGTAGACGGCGATCTGCAAAAACAGAGAACTCTCACTTGTCTATCTGTGAACACAGGACATGTATGTCGGCCTACATGGAACCGAACCGACCTGCACACACACAACCCACACACAGACGCAGGCAGGTGCACTTGGATGGATGTGGCCATGTTGTGAGTGAGTGAGTGAGTGGGTGGATGTGTGTGAGGTTTACCTTGCGCTCGTCCTGAGCCGACGCATCCGACGTTGGCTGCATGGACACATACAGCGATAAAGAGAGGACATACATAAGCTCTCCTGGTGTGACGTCGTGTCTTATGTAGTCATCTGCGTACGCTGGTGGCCTGGACGTCTGCAATCCGACACATACACACACACACACACACAGAGAGAGAGAGAGAGAGAGAGAAACAGTCCCGCTCTCATGCCTGTCCGTCCGCCTGTCCATCTGTCTGTGAGCATGTGTGTGGTACATACCCCGGTTGGAAAAGTGGCGTGAGAAGATTGGGTGCTGCCTGAGCAGCGCCTGCTGCTGCTCCAGCATCTGCTGCTGCATCTCGGCCTGCTGCTGCATCATCTGCCGTATCTGCTGCCGGTGATGCTGCTGCTGCTGTGCCAGATCCTCCCGGTGCTGGGCGGCCCGAGCCTCCTGTTGCTTCAGCCAATACTCTACCATGGCTGACGTGAGGCAATGGGTGAGAGGGGGAGGGGGGAGGGAGAGGCGCACACACAGAGAGAGAGAGACATACACACACGCATGGACAGGTGGAGAGATGGCTGTGTTGCGGGGGATGTGTGTGCATGTGTGTGTGTGTGCGTACCTTTGACGGCGGCAGGCTGTGGCTGCTGCTGTGGCTGTGGCTGTGGCTGCTGCTGTGGCTGTGGGTGTGGCTGTTGCGGCGGCTGCTGCTGCCCCCTTCCCCCCGCACCCACGGCAGACAGCACCGTCTCGGGCGGCGGCAAGATGGGGACTCTTCGCGGCTTTGTCGGCAGGGGGTCGGGGGGCTCGTTGGGGCCAAAACGTCGGGCCTCGAGGCCGCGCCACCGCTGCTGCTGTTGGTCGTCCTCCACCTCCATTGCCGCAGCAGTGCCTGTGGCCGGTGCCTGCTGGCCCTCTACGGCTTCTTCTGGACCTGCAGGTGCAGGTGGCGCGTCCATGGCGGCATCTGCTGTAGCTCCCCCTTGCCTTTGGTCTCCATCGGCGGCCTGTGGTTCAGCGAGTGCTGGTGCTGGTGCTGGCGATGCGAGTGTGTGGGTGGCCTGCAGAGGGCTGTCCATCGACGTCGAGTCCTGATGCAACACGATGGATGCAGCCAATGATGATCCACAGTTGCAAGGCCATTCTTGCTTCTGGAGTGTTGCTTCAATGTGTGTACAGCATCCTACCAATTTCAGATGTTTCGCCGTATTTTTGAATGTTGAGAGAAGGAAAGCTGTGGTCCGTGGGCAGCGGCTTGGCGGCGGTCTGTGATGATGGCGGTGGTGGCGGGTAGGGCGCCGCCTGCTCTCGTTCGGGCGGCGGCTCCCTCTGCACATAGGGGAGATAAGACAGGCATAAACCAATTCACGTGGGTATCTATCTATTCATCGTACCAGGCCCAAGTTTGCCATTGTGTGTGGAAAATTGTCGAGCAGGTACTTCTGTGTGCGTGGGAATATTCCCAGCCATCGGGTCGTCTTGCTCTTGCAACCATCGGCTGATGGACATGTCGCCTCACTCAGCTCACTTCACTCTCTCTCTGACCTTGGGTAGTGTGGCAGCTACCGGCGCTGCCCCTGCCGGGCCCTCCTTGACGACGCTGTCCTTCACCGTGTCGCTATACGACTTGCCTGCATGCATTGCAATCAACAAACATACAAACATACAAATTGTAACACAGCAAACACAATCACAGTCGTCACCGTCTTGGCTCCTCCCTCGTACCAGTCGTTGGGCCCGTGGCGTTGGTCTTGGGCGGGGGTGGTGGTGGTGGGGGCGAAGGAGGTGGGGGCGGCTGGCTGGGCGGGGTCATCTGCTGCTGGGGCGATGGAGATGCTGGTGCTGGCGCCTGTGATGGGAAGGTCGGAACGGCACAGGAGTGTTCCTTCAATGTATGTGCAGCATCCTACCAATGCCAGTTGTTTTGCCGTATTTTTGAATGTGGAGAGCAGAAATTTCCTCGTCCTTGGCAGCGGCCCGGTCGAGTTGGAAGGCGGTGGTGGCGGATATGGCGGCGCCTGCTTCGGTTTGGGCGGCCGATTTCGCTGCACATAACGAGATAAGACAGACTAATTCACGTGGGTATCTATCTATTCATCCTACCAGGCCCAACGTAGCCGTTGTGTTCGGAAACTTGTCCAGAAGCCACCGGTGGGTGCGCGGGAATGCCGCACATATGTTGGGCAGCCATCGGGCATTCTTGCCCTTGCCACCACCGCTGCCGTCGTTGTTGTCGACTTTGTTGTCGGGGCTTGCCGAGTCGATGTGGTGCGGGGCGTGCTGAACCAAACACAGGCATACACGTGCAGGACACAGGTCGTCAAGCCAAGCCGAGAGAGTAGGTAAATAAGTTGCTTGGTGGGCTTTGGCCTTCTGCTGTCTGTCTGTGTTGTAAACTTACCCATCGGACCATGGCGAAGCGGTCGTCGATCCTCGGGCCCCTCCCCCCCGCACCGTGAGAGAGGGATTCGTTTGGGCGGCGTCGGCATGGTGTGGGGGGGTCGCTGGGGCCAAAAGGTCGGGGCAACAGCTCGCCCAAAACTGACACACACATACGCACAAAGACAGAGAGAGAGAGAGAGAGAGAGAGAGACATATGCACACTACAGCACATACATACACGAAGAGAGAAAAGACCACACACAAACGGCACCCGTAAACAAGGAGAGACAGTCCATTCGCTAGTGTATCCCACAGTTCGACCACCTTCCATGATCCTTCTCTTGCTTCGCCATCTCGTGGGATGCGCGGGTGAAGGCAAAAGGAGTTGACGAAATATAAAATGTAGACAGCAATGGGATACTGCCATGTCTGAAACACATACACACACAGCGAGACACAGGCAGGGGCACTTGACGGGGCTGTTCGGATTTATTGCATAATATATAGTGGCGTCCACCTCACTGGCGTCGTCACATCGCTCTCGAGGGCTGGCGGCGACGGGACTTTCTGCAGAGGGACGGAACGGCACAGAAGCGGCGAAGACTGCATGTGAACAGGTGTTGCTTCAATGTGTGTGCAGCATCCTACCAGTCCTAGGTGTTTGGCCGTATTCTTGAAAGTTCCAAGCAGCCAAGCCCTTCTCCTGGGCAGCGTCCCGGCCGTGGCGTGTGATGGCGGCGGTGGCGGGTATGGTGGGGCCACCTGCTCTCGTTCGGGGGGCGGGTGCCTCTGCACATAAGGGAGATAAGACAGGCATACACTAATTCACGTGGGTATCTATCTATTCATCGTACCAGACCGAGCTTGGCCATTGTGTGTGGAAACTTGTCAAGGAGCCACCGATGGGTGCGCGGGAATGCCGCACTTATGTTGGGCAGCCATCGGGCATTCTTGCCCTTGCCACCACCGCTGCCGTCGTTGTTGTCGACTTTCTTGTCGGGCTAATTGTCGAGGATGTACTCCTTTGTGCGCGGGAATGCCGCGATGATGTTCCGCAGCCATCCCCTGAAGCAGACGCATGCCAAGTCACGGTCGAGAGGGTGTGAAAGCTGAGGCCTAGCCCTTGGAAACGTCACCAAGACGTCGTCCATCGACACCTTCGGCACCTCCTTTTCCCCCGCCTTCTCTGTGCCTATTTTGGCAAATGTCCCTTCACAAGCATATCAACAGCAGGGCACTTGTTCATTCATCCGGCTTCAATCCCTCTCTCTTGCGTGTGCCTCCGTACCAGCCCCGTGGATGGGCTTCCCCTTGGTGCGCTTGATGGTGAAGGAGATGGCCAGAGGTTCTTGGTCCCCATGAGTTTGTGCACCTGTGAAGGCAGCCTTCTCCCTCTCGCACAGCGACCCGCCGGCTGCCTGGCCATCTGCGGGAAATGAGAACACATTGAAAAACAAGAAACACCGGCGACGAAACGCTCTCGTGATACCCGGCAAGAGTATCGGACTCAGATACAAGCTCTCCTCCTGCAGACAGGACAGGACAAAGCGACGAGTGCTCTGACTTTGAGTACCTATTTGCCACTGCATCGACTGGCTCGACGGATGTCAGGTCGACGGTCAGTGTCGCTACGCTGAGGAAACAATTGAAGGGCAGAGGTGGGCCTGCGCAGCCTCTGAGAACATATATTTCTGCGGGGCAGCACAGGAAGCTCGACTTACTGATACACTTACCACCTGTTGAGAAGTGTGTCGATGAGACGGCCTGTCGAGAACTCATCTGCACACACACAAAGTAGGGCAATGCATGACCGCACACGTCAGGAGTGACCACAGACGGACGAGCGCACGCGCAGAGAGAGGTATGAACATAAGGCACACGCACTGACCTCATGGAGGCTTCCGCGAGGGAGAAGAAGACACCGTGCTCTCCCGGGAGACGCCATGCTCTCGGTAGGCGGCAGGGTACCAACGGCTGAGGGCTGCCCGTCAGCTGGAGGCGCAAGGAAGAAGTGACGGCTGCCATCCGGACAAGCTGGAGGGCTTGGAGGGGCTTGGGCGAGCCACATAGGACGACAAGCAGCCCGAACGAAAATGAAATGGAGGAGCTGTGGCCGCGAGAAGGCCGACAAGGAGAAAAAGCGCGGCGGTGCTCACGAAATGGGCTGCATTCATTAAATAAACTGTCTTGTCTCTCGCGTCGAGAAATCTCGCCGCGAAAAGAAAAAAGGAGTGAAAGGGCGCTTTCTGTGCACGTGGAAGAACTTGGAGACTCCATCCAAGCTTGCACCCCCATCTGCCCCCAGTCTCGACGCCGTCAGCACACAGTGATCGATTCCATTGCATCAGCGAAAAAGTTGATGAGACGCAAGTCAGCATGCATCACACATACGCACAGAGAGAGCTAGAGAGGAAATCCAGCCATCGTCAGCAGAGAGGAAGCCATGAACAGGCCACACAGTCCGACAAAGAGGCCATGGACGCAGAAATCCACCCCGATGGATATATTATACATATATGTGTGTGTGTGTATCCGTATGTATTGGTGCGTACAGAGGACATACAAATACGGACACACACACAGGGACAGACAGAGGGTGGGACGGAGGGGGACGGGAGAGAGCCAAACTGAGGCAGCCAAGGCAGCAGAGACTTACCAGTCATGAGCACATGGCCATCCATCCGCACACCACAGCGATAAGGAGGAGTGAAGCGCATCACTCCAGTCAGTGTGTGTGGCTGTGGACACGGAAGCCCTCAGCAAAAGCGCCTCGGCGACCGTACCGAGTGCCATGCAGGGGGTCACACAGATATGGACTCAAAGCGACACACAGACACACACACACAGAGAGAAAGGAAGCCGCCCCGACCGACAGTAAGGCAAAACTGACTGACTGCATGGCCGCGGTCTGTCTGTCTGTCTGTCTGTCTGTGTGGTGTGGTGACGTGTGAGTGGATGGGCAATCAGTGTGAAACACACACGACCATGTCTGTCTGTATGGAATGGAACTAACAATGCGCCACAGACGGATGGATTGATGGATGGATTGATGGATGGATGGATTGTGTTGCTAACATCCCTCCCTCCTTCTGTCAGCAAGTGATCCTACATCGGTTGGCGGTGCGCTCCTCTGTCCTCTGTGTGTGGCCGGGAAAGCAACACAACTCTCATGCAAAGATGGATAAGCGCTGCAACCGGCCGATTGCGCAGCAAGTGGCCGACCCAAAATTGGAAATCCATCCACCAAAGCCCTCACACGTGCTGTGCTGTACACAAAGAGTGGACGGATGGGGGGGAGAGAGAGAGAGAGAGAGAGAGAGGGAGAGGATGTGTTGGAAGACAAGGTGAGGGACTGTGCTGCCCGCCTCCCTGGTGGTCCCTCCCTCGTCAGACAGTCCATATGGGTCTGTGGGGCGCCTCGCATTCTCACTGCCAAAACAACACCAGTGAGTAGACCACATGCAGCGGCTCAGCTGGTGGGCTGCTCAATTCTTCTATGCCGACGGCCACACTCTCAAACACCACAGCCCCCAACAGCCAGCCATGAAGGCCATCTTTTCTGCACCCCCACGCACTGATCCACGTGTCATCACACTGTCTGTATGTCTGTGGGCACTCGACGGCCTCGACAGCCCCTCTTGCCTCCATTGCCGTGTCCGCCTCACGAGTCACTCTGAGTACTCGTCGCTACCTAATCAACACACACACACACACACACAATCAGACAACTAGAAAGGTGATGCAGATCGACAGGAGCCAGGGGGTCTGTGCCGTGTTGTGTTGTGGTGCGTACCTCCGCTGCCCTCTTGTCCGTCGTTGGGATGCATATCATCGTCATCGTCATCGTCACCATCAAAAGATCCATCTGCACCACCCAAGTGTGTTTGTGTGTCTGTGTGTGTTTATGTGCAACGCTCTCCTCCCACCGTCATCGTCGTCATAGTCGTCACCCTCACTCTCACCACGGCCGTCCTCATCTACACCACACAGACAGAGAGGGCTCATCCATCCATCCATCCATCCTCATGTGTGTGTCCCTCTCTCCCTCCCTCTGTCTGTCTGTCCGTACCATCGTCGTCACTGTCGTCGCCCCCCTGCTGCTGCGGCTGGGCCTGTGGCTGTGGCTGTGGCTGTTGTGGCGGCTGCTGTCCGTCGAACACGTAAGGCGCCACAGCCTCCAGCGGCACACAAGCCAGGACGGTCGTCTCGGGGAAGCGGTCCTTGAAGGGCGCATCCTCATGCACACCAGACGCAGGCGCCTCGGTCGTCTTGACACTCACCTCCACTGCAGACACACAAGGGAGAGAACATTAGTGGCACGTAACCAGCAGAGCTGCCTGTCTGTCTGTCGGCCTAACCGTTGTTGCCCGTTGTTGCCCAGTCAATGATGCGAATCCATGCGACGAAGTTGTGGGTGCTGTTTGTGAGCACCAGGTATCGGACATAAGCCTCCGAGGTCAATGTTGTGCTGCAGCCGTCCACCGGCGTGTGGGGCGACTGGGTGAGGAGGGCATCCAGATGGCCGCCGCCGTCATTCCTGAACCAACCACACCACACACACACCCCTCTCACCCACTGGTGCCATCGGTGGCTTACCTGTCGAGATATTTCGTTGTGAAATTGGTCTGGTGAGTCTCAACGAAATGGTTGCGGATCAAGTCCTTGGCGGACGACGACGCCGACGCATAGGTGGAGCGCACCGTACCCCGTCATTCGCCGTCGACGTTGTCGTAAAAGATGCCGCTACGCACTGGTGGGTCATCCTGTAGTCGGTGCTGCCGGTAGAGGTGGCCGGCAGGGAGGGGCGGATTGAAGTCCAGCCGGAAGCCGGGCTCGTCGTTGATGGCCCGCACCTGATGGGCATGGCGGAAGAGCTCCAGCCGGCTGCCGTCACCGAAGTCGATGTGACGCCCTCCCTACCACCATCAGCTGCGCCACCACACGGGGAAGCGACACATACGCCTACACACACACAACACACACGCGCATGGATGAGCAAATGAGGCCCTTTCTTCCCCTCCCTCCCTCCCGCCCTGTGAGTCCCACCGTCATGTCGGCGTGTTTGTTGATGTCGTCAGCAGTGATGCTGACGGGCAGCGTGCAGTGTCCACACTGGCTGGCCCACCGCAGCACCTCAGCCACCTCATCCCAGCTCTGCTGCTCCACCATTCACATGGCCGCCAACAGCAGCCGCGCCTCGGTCACCGACTGCGGGCCGAAGGCTATCACGGTCTCCAGCCGGGTCCCATCGGCGAGCCGAATGCGATGGAGTGACCAATTGAGTCGCTCGCGGAGCGTCAGGGCAGGGAAGTGGTCATTGCTGACGAAGCGGGCTGCCGTCCTGAGGCGGCCGATGTCCTTGGCCTCGTCGTAGAGCTGGTATCTGTCGTCCCGGTGAATGAAGTCGAGGCACTGGCCGTGGACGGACGGCGAGGCCTCGTCGGTGGCCTTCCGCGAGACGGTGTTGCCCATCGCACAGAAGCCTTTCTAGTCGTCAAAGCTCGCAGTGATCGAACTTTCCGACAAGAAGACGTTGACAAGAACGCCGAGTGGAAGAGTGGAAAAAAAGAGTGTGACGGTTGTTCATTGGCGATTGCGTTTGGTTCATCTGAGAGAGTGTGTTTGGGTCTCTGTGTGTGCTGGGTGCGAGGGTTACGGTCAGTGTAAAGTCTGTCCTTCGCGCACACAGAGCCATCCATCCATCCGTCAAGCCAGCCAGCCAGTCAGTCCAGTGAGTGAGTCGCTGCTTGAGTTATGGGCGAAGATTCGTCTTTATCCCGACATGCCATTCCCTCGCTGCCTGAGTGTGTGTGTCCGTGTTTGTGTGTGTGGTCCCCCTGGCTGCCTTGACTTGTCCAACGAGTGCGTGCACCCACAGAATGTGTGTGTGAGAATGCTTCAGCTTCTCGCGATGTAATGCAATGTCTGTCTGTCCGTCAATGTCCGTCCAATCAAAGACACACAAGAGCCACCCATCCGGTCCATCCAGAAGACACCGACACACAGGCCAGACAGCATGCGGACGGACGCAACACAAACAACACGGGAGAGGCAGGGCCGCTGCCGTGCAGGCAGATAGATATAACCGACCGACCACGTCTGTACGCACCACTCCTTCTCGCCTTTCACCTCAACTACGGCTGTACTGGACGGGCGGACCATCCTCCTCCCTTCGTCTAGTTCTTATCTTAGGTCTGTACCAAAACGCCACCTGCCTTAGTGCCTGCCTGCCCGCCGAATGCCGCCCGCCACACACACACACAGCCACACACACAGCCAGACAGCGAGGGGATACAGAAAAAAGAACGAATCGACGGGGCGCATTCCTCTCATTTCATTTCACTTGATTGTCTTGGCCGACGAGAGATCGACCAGCACACACCATTCATTCACAACACTCCGCGAAGCCATTTCAGTTCGCTACTCGTACTTTACCCTGCGGCGCGCCCCCCGTGTGTGTGATGTGTGTCGGCAAGTACTTGATTGATCGGCCGGTCTCGTGTGTTTTTTCTTCTCTTCCATCGGTACGGAAGGCCACCAGAGAGGCAGACAGACAGGCAGTGAGTATAGTACACAATCGACGACATGTATCGCAGAGATCTGTGTGTGTGTGTATGGGCGACTCCATGCGCCAGACAGACACACTCAGTCACCCCCACCCCTCCCCACACACACGGCAGGCAGGCAGGCAGGCAGGCACAGAAAAGTACCAATCAGCCGCATGCATCGTTTGTCGATGCACGCTGTCAGTGTATCGGCACATGTGGCCCCATAAAAAGAGCAACAACGGCAGCACCCACATTAGCAGCAACAACAGCAGCCCACACATACAGAGAGGAGGCCTTACTGGTTGTGGGTGAGAGGCATCTATCCATCGGCCAGACCAGGCTGGCAACCGACAGCCAGCCAGCCAGCGACCCGCGACTAGAGAAAATACCAGAGGACTCAACCAGGCAACGACCAGTCGACCGAGGGAGCGGCAGCAGAGATGGGATAGCCATACGATCGTCCGCACACAAAACGGCAACAACAACAACAACAACAACACAACACAACACATCCAAGCGCAAGGCAACGAAATGCAGCAGGTACGAGCAAGGAGCTGATCGGTGAGAGAGTGCATGTGGCAAACTAAAGGCAAGTAAAACCGCCCTTTGGTGATGACTGGAAAAATGCCATGTACAGTGGACAGACAGATCGAGACGGTGAAAACAAAACCAAAACCGCATCATCTTCCTTTCTTCCCGAGAGCATCAGCCAGCCACCCCCTCCCCCCTCAACCAACCTTCTCCCCCATTAAACCCCCAGCCATCGATCCATCACAACCCCTCCCCCTCCCTCCCATCCCAGACAGTGCTAGATTGCCTGCGCCCCGGAGGAGGGCGCTGTTCGGACCTTCCTTCTTCAAAACGGCAGAGACACACACAGAGATAGAGAAGTGTGGGTGGAGGAGGGGAGAGAGGACGGAGGCGTGTGGACGGCCGTTGATTCATCTTTCAGCCTGCCCCCCGTCTCCTCTCGGCTCGCCCGCCCGCTGTCTGGTGGTGGTGGTGGCGTCTTTCCTCTTTGCTGGTTGCTGAGTGCACCCATGTGGAAATACCCACACACACCCACACCCAGGCAGGCAGACAGACAGAAAGACAGGCAGGCAGGCAGGCAGGCAGAAAGGCGGGCAGCTGATGGGGCACATGCAGACACGGATACACAAAAACAGACACACTCTCTCTCTCACACAAACGTAAACAAAGAGGGATCGACCAGCGAAGGGACAACCAACCAACCGATGTGAGTACGTACGAAGGAAAGGCTCTGGTCCGCCCAGACTGACAGACACACACACACAGAGGCATACAGACGTACACAGCAGGTGGGTATGGGATCGACGGAGTGACGGAGGGAGGAAGGGCACCAGCCGTCGGGGTTAAAAGAGCGCAGAGGTGTAGAAAAATTTCGACGACCACACAGTTATTGATTGCCACATATGGAGCCGATACACAGACAGACAGACAGACACACGAGAGAGAGAGACGCCCATCCGCCACACACAGGCTGTTCTGTGCGTGACGGATGACAGCGAGGAAGGCAGACTGGTAGAGATATAGATACGGATAGACAGCGACAGAGAGAGAGAGAGACACACACAGAGAGAGAGAGAGAGAGACATGCAGGGGAAGCCGTGTCAAGCCAAAAACGCACCTGCACTCAATCACTCCTCACTCTATCTCTCTCGCTAAAGCAACACACAATACATGATACATGACACAATGCGCAACAGGCGGCACGCAGCGCGCACACGCACAAAAAAGAAAACTTCCGTCAAACCAGCCAGCCGTCCTCTCATCGCCCCTGCCCCCTCCCCTCCCCCTTCCTCCCTCCCTCCGCCCCTGACACCTACCTACCTACCGGCCTACCGTGTGTAAACAAATTCCTGCATCGATTATGCATTCATTCTCTCAGTCAGCATCGTGTGGGTCATGTGGGAGGGTGTGTGGGATGGGATGGGACGGGATGTGGCGAGTGCCTCTCTCCATGTGGGTGGGTGTGCGTCGTCGGCTCATTCGTCAAATCGTCAAAAAGGCCTCACTCATTCACAACCTGCACTGCACAACCTGGTAGGGCAAATGGGCGTGCACGAGTGTGCAGCCAGCCCCACACACAGAGGGGTAGGGGGGAGGGTGAGAGGGAGAGGAGAGAGCACGTCTACGCCCACCAGGTTTCAAGTCTGACCCACACCAGCACCACATGAGGCCGCGCGCCACTTTCTGTTGAGGGGAGGCGGTCTCACGTGACGCTCGTGTTACACACGACTGACTGACTGACTGACCTGGCTGCTCTGGCTGCTCTGCAGACAGGGCGGCAGATAGGGGGATGTAGTCGAGGAGGAAAGTACAAACAGAGATCAGAGACTCCCTCTGCCCCCGGTGCTTAGAAAAGGGGCACACACACACACACACACACGCACGCACGTCATCAGAAGTGTCTGGTCTTGTTGGTCGCAACCTGGGTGTGCATCGCATCACTCGTCAATTACAACACGACA